GCCATTTGTATGCATTTGTATGTCTTTTAAGAGATGTCTATTCAAAACTTTTGCCCGTTTTTCAATTTAAAAAAATGTGGTAGGTTTTTTCATAGGCACTGTGTTCTGACAACAGTTATCTAACAACCGGATGTTCTATAATTGAAGAAGCTTAACAAAGTAGATCTCATGAAGATACAGAATGGACATTTTCTCAAAAGAAATCTCTGTGACACTTAGACTTTAAGAATCTGAAGATAAATGAAGGCTGGGGACCAGCAAATTCTAGTCAATGTACATATATAGAGATATCAGTTTGCGTTGTTTGTTCCTGCTCTTTTATCTAATAATAGGAATTTTTTAAAATGCTTATGGTAAAAAAAATACTGAAAATTTTTCTTTGTAATGGCCATATTTTTATAAGTAATTCCCTGAATTTCTGATTATTTATCCAGATAATACCTTTATTTTTGAACCAGTAATATGTTTTCTCTAAGATTTTCAAGCTCTCATTCTGTGATTAGTAAAACTGTTTCTCAGGAATTTGATACTCATTTATATATACGCCAGTTGTCTCTGAGATTGCTATGTCTGTACTATACAAAGGATGGAATTCCATCTTTTAAAGTATTTGTCGTGTTACAAAGCAAAAATAACAATAAAAACTCACAAAAACACGAAAAGGAAATCTTTAATATTTTAAGTTTTTGCTCTCTTACATAACTGAAGCTAAACTATTTTCATATGCTTATTATCCTTTTGTAGTTGTTATGCTTTCAGATCTATTTACCACATTGACCCTTAAAGAAAAAAACATTATTTCTTTTAAAATTCTTTAATTGTGGAATTTTAGAAAAGTATTCTTAGTTTGTTGTTTGTCATTTAATTTGACTAATGGTTACTTTTTCATGTATAAATGTTGACACATTTTAATTCAAATATGTTGATCTTTCCTTTGGTGATTTGTCTCTGTTGCTTGTATGCTTAAAAAGTTTGTTTATGTCGAGGAGTCCACAGATCACAAAAATTATCTAAGTTGTCATTTCATTCTTGTAAGATTTTAGCTTGACATTTACTCTAAGTTGACTCTCTCCTTTAATCTGTGATTTTAGTTTGCTTCCCTTTTGATTTTGTTATACAATGTGAAAGTGAATCTAAGTTTTTATCCCTCCTAAAGACCCTCAATAACTCCACTTATTAATTCTTTTGTGAATGCTTTGTGATATTTTCTTTCTTTTGAGATGGAGTCTCACTTTGTTGTGCTGACTGGAGTGCAGTGGTGCTATCTTGGCTCACTGCAACCTCCACCTCCTGTGTTCAAGCATTTCCCTTGCCTCAGCCTCCAGAGTAGCTGGGACTACAGGCTCCCACCACCACACCCGGCTAAGTTTTTTTGTTTTGTTTTGTTTTGTTTTGTTTGTATATTTAGTAGAGACAGGGTTTTGCCATGTTGGCCAGGCTGGTCTCAAACTCCTGACTTCAAGTTATCCGCCTGCCTTGGCCACCTAAAATGCTGGGATTATAGGCATGAGCCACTGTGCATAGCCTGTGATATTTTCTTAATTCTACACATATTGACTTCATAGGCATGTACACATGTCTATGTTTCTGTGTTTTCTGCTTATTCTCTCTCTGGATATGCTTGAATATACTGCTGTTCACTATATTTTGTGTCTTTAATACTTTTCAACATATTTAGAATATATTTTGAAATACATTTTAAAGCATGCTTACAGTCACTTAAGTTACTTTCTCTTTTATGCCATGTTGATATGTTTTGGCAATGTAGATAAGTTTGTTTTTTTTGACAAACCTTTCCTCAACTAAATCATCTATTTAATTATTGTGACTAAGAAATATGAGCAAATAAAAAAAAAAACTTTTGACAATTTTTAAAATAATGATTGTCATAAAACAACACATAGCCCTAAAAATAAACCTTTCTTCAGTAGTCAAAGAATTATTAAGTTAAACTTTACTGTTCTTTATAAAATGACTTAATGTTAGAGTTATGGATCTAAATTATGCCCATAAACAGGTCACTTGAAGCCTGTGGTAAGCTAGTAGTACCCTTGCATTTATCTCCAGAATGCTTTTAAAACTACTGTGCTTGTGCCCGGTATCCTAGTGCACACACCTTGCAAGCATTACAGCCACGAGCCTGACTTCCAGTTCCAGCCTATGAGTTGAATGGATCGCAGCAGTTACCATTGCTGCTGGGACAGCTGCCATTGGTTATCTAGCTTACGAAAGATTTTATGTTAATGATCATCGAAATAAAGCTATGATAAACCTTCACATCCAGAGAGACAGCCCCAAGGTGCTTTTGACATGGAGGATTTGGGAGATAAAGCCGTGTACTATTGTTGGAAGTTCAGAAAGTTCCCGTTCTGTGAAGGATCTCGCACAGAACACAACGAAGAGAATGGATACAACATGGGACCTCTGATCATCAAGAAAAATGAAACTTAAATGGATACTTTTGATACTACAAATCAACTTGTCATGAAGTTACTGGATTGTTTAATTCGAATGACTAGGACTTCTAATTCACCTCCCCTGGGTTGTAAATGTGGTATATTGCAAACTGCAGCTTTCACATTCATGGCATTTGTCTTACTTGGTGAAACAACATGGTGAACATTTGTTTAAAAAAAAAAAGAAGGAAAAAGAAAAACCACCTCATAGCCTGTGGGTTATTGTAGTCTTGTAAGAATCTGTATCTCCAAAATACTGACATATAGAGTTCTATCTTATATAGAATCTAGTAGTATCTTGGAGTCAACCTATTACTCTCAAAATTTAAAAAAAAAAAAAAAAACTATGCCACTCTCCAATATTTTTTCAATATAATGAGTGAAGGTGTTAACGGGGGACTGAATAGAACTAAATGCCCATTAAATAATGTGGAATCATCATTACAGAAAAAGTGTCATTATTTTGCATTTAAACAATTCCTAGCAACAATGGAAAGTTAAGGAGGTAGGGAAGGAAACTAAGTAAAGGGAGCTGGGAAAGACAGGGAAATGGCAAGAAAGCAAAAGCGAATTGTAGATGTGGGCATTTGAAAGGAGCTGACAAGAGGTGATCCTCAGTACTGTGGCATTCAGAACTTTAGGCATCCCTGCCTGCAAAGCGGAGTGAGAAGAGAATTGTAAATCGAGCATAGTACCTGTTATGTAGATGTTTTATTCTAACAAGGAGCGTTGCATTTAAATATAATGCTGTTTGCTTTGTGCAAAACTGAAACTGAAACATTTGTAAAGGTTTCTTTGTACTGTTTCTAATCTATAATTTAACAGATTTGTTCCACCAGAACAAACATTTGCTGAATGTCATGGAAATGGTTTTGAAAAGTCTAAGTGTCAGCAAGATCGCCTCTGAACACAACACTTGAACAAGGCAGTGACTATATACCAAACACACAGACCCTCCCAGAAAGTGGGTAGTGTTTCAGCTACAGTTAGCCTCTCAGGCATGGTGATATTCCTTCAAATACTTTCCTTTTTTCTGTCCTTAGGACATGCCTTCAAACTCTTCCTCATATTCTGCACAAGTAAGAGGCATTAATCACACAAATCTACATGCCCATTTATCCAGAATTGTTGCCTATGATCCACCCTTTGAATAACTTATACTCTTGACCTTTCTGATCAATAAGATGAATGATAAAGGCAAAGGCTTGTGGTTTACATCTTCGTAGAAATTGCTGTCTCTTCTGAGTAGTTAAAATAAGTAATTCCTTTGGTGTTATTCATTGCCTCCTGCAAGCAATATTTGTTATGTGTGTGGGAGCGAGATGTACTGTATCTTCTTACCTTTGATGTTTGGTCTTGTTTTGGGGCTGTTCTTTTGACAAGCTTTCAAAAGCCCCCTACTATGAACGTCGAGTTAAGTACCCTTATAAATATGCATGAACATAAACCTCATATACTCATTTTGGTGGCTACTCACTGTGCTGGGTTGCCCTGGAAGCCATTCCAAATGGTTTTGATTTTGCGTCTGAGATTCTTAATGGTGGTAATTATCTATTGCAGCCATGCAGTACCAAATATGATGCGTGTTAGAGATACTTTAAAAAATAATAATAAAAGCAACTAAAGATGCTAATTCCCACATTTTAGTTCCTACAGGGCAATTAGCCCCTAGTAATGCTGTTTATATTTATATGCAAATGTTTCAGGAAAAATGAATCTTAACAGAGACTTCATATCAATACTATTGGGAGATGAGAGCATTCCATCTGTCTGTAGAAAATGCCTGCCATTAGCTCTACATGCAGCCTATTTCTGTAATAGAAACTATTTCATCTTAAGTAATTCATTCTTCATTTTGTATTTTCCCTTCCTTCTGTTCTTTTATTAAGACTCTTAACTAATGTACAGTATGTGTAGCTCTTCAGGGCCTACACATAGCTGCCCTGCCACATTTTTTTTCTGAGTGTCATCTGTTCCTTGAATTGCTACCTAACGTACTCACCATTCCTCATTTTGAAATAATAATCGAGTAACCAAGGCAGTCTTCTCAGGGGGCACTCATTGGTTAATATCCTCTGATGTAGAAATTACAACATACATAGATGGAAATGTAATGAAGAAGCAAAGTTCTAAATTACAGCTGTAGCTTTTGACTAGCTTCTGGCTAACAAAAAAAGAATGCAAGAAAAATTGCTTCTTCTTGAACATGTGAAGAAACTGAAGCTTTAAGACATTTCATGAACTCCTTGTCTAGTCAGAGGTAGGGAGCAGGCTCCGTCTAGAATCAGCCTCATTTTGCAAGACTTTCTACTTCAACATGATCTCAACATGGAGGGTCCTGTCATAACTAATCATTTTCTCTGTATTCTTTTTGTTTCCACAAGACATTTTAAACTACTAATTGGCAATTCAGTTACTTGGGTAGTATCACTGAATGTATTGCCTATCTTAGATATATTCTTTTGCAGAGGAATGAAATGCACATCTATTATATCATTTAGGAATCATTATTTTGCTACACATTTGAGATCGGCTAAGAATAGGGTTTTTTTTTTTTTTTTTTTTTTTTCCTACTAGAAACAGAATCTCTAATTCCATGATTACATAAGACAGAATTGTTAACTGCATATAGAACTATGGAGTTCTACCTAATACTGTGAAAGTGTTTCAGAGTTCAAATTTTATTTAGGGTAATGAGAAAATGGGGGAAAAAAAGGTCAGATAGCAGCATAGTAAGAATATCGTGTTATATTTACATAATCACTACGGTAAAAATTCCTTTAAGAACAGTAACATGTAAAGGCAAGGGTAGAAATTGGTGAATCTACTATACTTAATCAAATTTAGGTATATGACAATTGCTTGCAACTTTCCATAGTAAAAGATGTACCCATTTGACATTTCTTTTTCCCCTTTAACCTAGAACAAAGAAGCAACCCCTCCCCCACAATTTCTAAATAAGGACCAAAATACCTCAAATAGCACTGTATTTCAAAACACAGAAGCTCATTGTCATTCCCTGTCAAAACCTGGAATGAAGAAGTCTGGGAAAGGGAGAAATTCAGCATCCTGCCAGTGGAAAATCTCATTAGAAACTCTAGAGATTTATCTGTCACTCTGACAAGATAATTTGATTTTAAACTTCATCACTGCTAGCCCTAATTTTTAAAATTAAATTGAAAAAAGTGACTTCTTCTTCTCCCATAAAGTGAATAATAGGATAATATAAATCAAAATCAAGAGTGCCATTAATCAGAAATTACAAGAAAAAAATTGAAAAATTTTAGGGTTTGAAGGAAATAGAAAAGAAGTCCTCCCTTCACTCGTACTCACCAGTCATGAACCTGGAATGAAGATCATTTAAGAGATTCCTTATGAGATTCAATTTAAAACTTCAAAAGTTATCTTATCAATGCAGATTTTTAATACTTTCTTATGAAGCTGGACTCTTTCAAAGGAACAGCACTTATCCAAAGCCCATGTTAAGTCTTTTTTAGTGCATTACTATCTCAATTCAAAATTCCTCAATGAGAGTTTTTCACACAGTAGACAAAACACAGTAAGATGTCATAAACATGTCCTTATTTTCAGGTGTGTTACAGTTAGTCAAGAAGCTAAATATAAACCTTATAAAAATCTAGTCCTTTCCCTTCCTCATAAAAGAGACAAACAATTTAACGCCAGTGATTGATACACTTTCAAAAGTTGATCTACTTGAAGATCATCAGTTACTTTTTCAGTCATATTTCTGTGTAGTATCTCAGAATTCAAGTATTCTCAGTTTCAGGGAGATCATCAAACAACTCATTAAAAAGAACAGAATTCTATCCAAACCAAAATGCAACAGAGTACCATAACTTGAGAATTGCTTTTTACATTTTTTGATGACCTACTTCACACACTTTCCAAATATTAAAATTTCTAAAGAATGAAGATTTAATGTCAGATTGCTTGTTAGGGAATTGAGTTCAAGAAAGGTGAACAGCAGAATTTTTTAATATGAAATTGAGAAGTCAGGAGCTCCTACTCTGTAGCCTCTCCATTTAGCAAAACCAACTCTGATTGGCTCATCTTCGAAAAGGATTGCCTCCTAGAATATTTACTTTCTCTTTAAGGGAGCCGCATTTCTCATGCCTGGTACTTGTCTCTCTTTAAGCCCTAGTTTCAAGTTTCTCCCTGCCATATTTCTTACAAGTAAATGAATGAAGAGACAAACTATATTCCATTACTTAATAAAACATCACTGTGCCTTCCTTTAGGAAGTAGGCCAACTGTGAAATAGCCTCTTTCGTAACTAAAACTTAGAACCAAAATGCTTCACACAATTTAACATTTACACACTTTGGACTATCCTGATTCTACTTTCTGGGACACCAAGACAGTTAAATGATTTAGTGTATTCACATTTTTCAAAAAGTGGTCACACTTTCTACTTGGTAATCTAGGCAGATGAAGGCTTTGATAACACTTTTCAATATTTAGTGGTAAATGTGTGTATATTCATATATATGTACATATATATGCATTTTGTGTATGTTATATAAAATGTGATATAAAAATCTCATAAATGGTAATAGCTCTTATTGCCAAATATGAATCAAGGAAATTAGGCTGAAAAAAATGTGAATTAGCTTTATTCTTCTCATAAAGAAAATCCAGCAATAATTATTTTAAAGATGGTTTTGTGCATTTCCCAGATTTTAAAAGCTTAAGAAAAGTATTTACCTTACAAAGTTGTTACAGTTACAACCGGGTGATTTCTCAGGACACCTGCTGAGTCCTCATAAGCAGTGTGGCTTCAACAGCAATTTCTCACCTGTTAAAAAATGTTAAATTGGAAATTTTAAAAAAATCAGAATAAAGTTATTTTTCAAATTTTATAATCTTATGTCAATAAATGTAAAAAAAATAAATGTATATATATATAGGATTTGGAGTATAAATCAATCTGACCACTTTTTTTTTTTTTTTTCCTGGTCATTTGTCACATATAATAAAAAAGAGATCATGGAAAAGTAATATGAAAATGATTGCATGAAGATATATACTTTTAAAAGGCCTTCATCAGAGATATTCAGCTCTTATTTTCAGGAACAACCTCCTCAAAGATTTCACCTTCACCTTGAACATAGCAGTGACAAGCCAGTCAAGGTCCACCGAATCCAATTAGAGCAGTTTTCTGGGAAAGGAATTGTGCTTCCTGACAATATTAGGGCAAAATACTGTGTGAGCTGTTTTAACCGTAAAGAGGACAGTGGTAGCTACAATCATCTTTAGTCTCTGGCTTAAAAATGTGTCAGAAAGCAATGACAGGCACAAAATATCTGTCAAGCTCTGTTGGAACCAGTCACTGGCTGTTCCGCCCTATAGGCTGTAGGTTGTACATCCTGTTGCGTAAAATCAGAATGTTTTAGAGGTTAGAAATATTCAGAGCAGTGGACAGAGAAGTCACCATTGTCTGTCATAACTTAAGAGAGGTAATATTCTGTGAATCTTAAAGGACTTTGAAAAAATTTACCAGTTCAGAGATCTGAAAGGGGCTGGGTATGGTGGCTCACTCCTGTAATCTTAGCACCTTGGGAAGACAAGGAGTGAAGATTTTCCGTGTTCAAGAGTTCAAGACCATCCTGGGCAACACAGTGAAACCCTGTCTCTACTAAAATACAAATAATTAGCCGGGCGTGGCATTGTGCACCTGTGGTTCCAGCTACTCAAGAGACTGAGGCAAGAGAATTGCTTGAACCTGGGAGGCAGAGGTTGTAGTAAGCTAAGATTGTGCCACTGTACTCCAGCCTCAGCAACAGAGTGAGACTCCGTCTCCCCTACAAAAAAGAGAGAGACCAGAAGGTACCCACTTTTCTCTTACTCCATTACTTCAATACACCCTAACAAATCCACCTCCTTAATGTCTCCTCTTTCTCCCCTCCCATTACATTCTTCCTGCCATTTCCCCTATCATCTCACTTCCCACTAGCAAAATTTTTCTAACTGATTGCCCTTCCTCAGGCCTGTACACATTCCAACATTTGGCTTATTCCACATCAGCAATTCTGTAGACTGAATAAGGACAGATAAAATATTCTTTATGATCTGGCCTTGGTCTATTTTGCATACTCACCTTTTGAGAGTTTCTATCCTTTCCTAATTTATTTTGAGGTCCAGCAATACCAAGTCCCATTCAGCCTACAATGAGACCTTGCATGTATTGTTTAGTGTGCCCTTTCAGCCACCTAGGAAACTTCCCATTGCTCATCTAAGCCCTATATTGAGATGTTACCTTCTCATAGGCCTCTCCACTTTCAACTCCTGAGAAAGTTAATCACTGGGCTCCTCTAAGATGCCTCTGTAGCTCTGTCTCCAAGTGTGCTTATCTGTCTAGATGTCTATCATCCATACTTGAATGAGAACCTTTTGGTCTAAGATATATATCATTCAGCTTCAGCTCTGAAGTACCGAGCACAGTGCCTGATCTATAGAGGAAATGCGTATTAGATTGAACATACATTCTCTTTACTTGCTTTTTCCTATGACACCGGAGATAGTTTCTCAATGCTGGGCATTCCCCATCCTTAAAGATGCTTTGAACATAAGTCCAGATTGGGGCAGTAGGTGGCTGATGAGGCCCTAGTATTTTGATTCTGTAGTTGCACACAGTATGTCTCCAAGTGACTAAATCACCCCACCTCCATTATACTATGTTCTCTAAAAATTGCTCAGAATAATCACAAAATGGGCTTTGGGTTCTTTAAAGTGCCTTAAGAGAAGTAAGAGTTATTGGAATAAAGTCCTCAGTTTGAACAAGAAATTTATTCACATGGCCTAAAAATCCATGATTGATTAACTGGCATAATGGATACTTTTAGAAGTCTATTAAGGATAAAAAAAAAAAGGAGAAAAAAATGCTTTATTTTAAATGTCCAAGGGCCACCCAATTACACATAGGCAAGTCCAATGTATAAATATCTTCCTCCCTGGATTTAATATCCATAGGTACCACAGGATAGATATTTGTTCTCATTAGGTTAATATTTTCACAGCTAATATTTAGTAAATAAAATCAATGAAACATCTATGCTAGGTTTGTTTGTCCATGTTAAAGAGGGCCGAATGGAGTGAATCACCTAATTATACCAATCCCTTTGCTTGCTATTACATGCTGGACATGAAGCTCTAATATCAATATAAGCTGCATTTTATCAACATGCAGGAGGAATGCAGAGGCACTCTCTGGTTTTTGTAATGCTCTTTTCTACCTTCGAAATTGAGTGGCTTTAAATAATCCTCCTGAAACTTCACACCTCACACCCCTTCAAAGTCCAGTGCTCACACATGGTAGCATTAGAGGAAGGATTATTGAAGACCCCCATTGGAACTGTGGCCTATTCATTTTCTGTGTAAACCATGGGGTTCCTCTGCAGACAGTGATGTGCCAACAAGACCCAGACAGCTGCTGTACTAAAGCTGCTCTGAGTGCAGGTGGGGAAACAGCTTGTGATATTAACAAGACTAGATCCTTCTTGTGGCTTTCTATAGCCTTTATTTAAAATACAGAAAAATGCTTTCAAAGACTTATTTATAACTGTATCAAGCACAGATTGCAACAACATTATGCTGCAATGAGCACATGTGTTATTCATACTGATATTAAGTATTTTTCTTTTTTGAAATAGCCAAAGAGAAAAAGCATGTTTCCTGACGATAGTTTCAGATAGGAGCTACTAAAATCATATCAATGAAGCAAACTTGGGTGAAAATAGCTTTTTTGGAATTTAAAAAAATCATGAAAACAAACAAAAAGATTCAGTGTAAACAGAAATTAAGACATAAGAAATGAATTTTTTTAACAAAAGTTTTATGAATATCACAGCTGTCACATGCATTTTTTTCTCCTTCATATAAAGATCATAATTAAATTAGATTTGAATGTTCCACATCACTATGGGCTTGTAATTTCATTTTTCTTTCTAACTTCTCAACAAGCCTTAACAGAGTTCTTAATACTGAAAACTTACCATTTTCCTTGAAGTTTTACTAAGCTCCTACTACATCCCGCAGCTCTGTTAACTATTATGACCAACATAAAGATAACCAAGCTATGTTTTTGGCCTCCAGAAGTTTATACTTCTTTGGGAAAAACGAAATGTTCATTAAGTGTCTTTGAGCTAATCAAAAAGGGCAAGAATTTTAAAAAGCAGTTATGGGCTGAGTGATGTGGGCTCTGCCATTTACTTGGTGCACGATCTTCAGAAATTTATTTTAAATTGCCAGCCTCAGTTTGCTCATCTTTAAAATGAGGATCAAACCATTACCTATCTTATAGGGTTTTCACCAAGTATTAAAGGAGACAATGCAAGCAAAAATGCTTTGACAGGATCCTGGCACATAAGGAAATGGCTGTTATTATTTTATGGCAATTCATAGAAGGTGGGGGTTTAGGTAATTAGATATTATTCTGTGGCATTTCATAGAAGGTGGGGGTTATTTGGGGATGACATTGACGAAAAAGCTACACAGAAGAAAATTTTGGCATTCAGAACACTGAAAATATTTATTTGGTCATTGAAGGAGAAAGAGGGCATCTCAGGTCTAGGGAAAATATTGAACAAACTTTATGTAACTGAATGAGCAAGTTGTTTATTTTAGAAAGTGATACAGTCACAAGACATATAATTGAAAGGAAGGAATGAATTTGTAGAAAGATTTGATATTAGAATGGTAAATAGATATAGAACAGGGACATAAGTAAATACAGTGAAGGACAAAATTCAAGTAATTTCTTATCAAGCATTTTCACTCAATCTTTTTCACCCTATGATTAAACTTGAATAATTCTTACTAAAGTTATCATTTCATTTGACATTTCAATTACATTCACTCCGAACTCAAAACCATGAGTTGTTGCACTGTTTCTCCATATTCACATTGCTTTAATTCTGTTGAATTTCCATAATATCCCTATTTTTCTACAAATTGACCTTTCATTCTCTTAAGGAAATGCATTTTTATATTTGGTTATTTCAAATATCTCAAATATCTATCTTAGCGTATGCATACACTCAGGCTCAACTTTCAAGGGAAATCTGGTTTAACATTGGGGATTTATAAGTTTTAAAGCCTTGGGGAATCACTTATTTTCTTTGTGTATCAATTTTCCCAATTTTAGAAAAATTAAAAATAATGCCTGCTTTATATGCAAGTGGTGACTAGGATAGATGGTAACAGATCAGACCCTTGAAATTACTATAGAATATGAAATAATAATTATTAATATTCTTCACATTACTGCTTTAAAAGCCTTTGCTTTAGAAAAATGCTTTTAATAAGTATATTTTAATCAAATATAATGGCTGAATTTTTCAAATGGACAGTTAAGCCAACCAGTATCGCCCTTAGAGAGAGCTCATCTTACTATTGGCAAAAATTAAACCACTATTAAACTCTGTTAATTACAAATAAAAGGGAAATAATTGTTTCAGAATTTGAACCAAATATTTTCAAGGTAGAGCTACCTTTAAAAGCACAATGAGATTACATTAAAAAATTAGAAAATTCTGTATGCAACCTAATTATGAACACATTATTTTTCAAGGATAAGACTGTATGTGATGTTATTTTCTAAATTATATATTTTTAATTGTTCTTTTCTAAAAAGGAAAAAAATAAAGATTAAACAAAACCTCAAAATCATTTAATAAATCTATTTGTAATTATTCTGAACATCCTTATCTTTTGCTGCATTCATTCCAGGCTATCAATAAAGTACTTAGGGAGGAGAATTCATTTGTTTACAGAAATCACCTCACTTTTTTCCAAAGA